TTTTTAAATAAAAAAATTAAAAATTGATATTTTTAAATAAAAAAATTAAAAATTAATATTTTTATTTAAAATTAAAAATTTTATACTTTTAAATAAAAAAATATAAAATTAACATTTTTATTTACAGATTTTCTCAATAAATTACACATTTTTCTTTTGAAATCCATCATTCCATTTACACCCTGCACGGCGGCCAAGATTAAGATCCATGAACAAGCACGCGACATGTGTATTTTAAGAAATCAACGGCTATGATCGCGGGTGCGTTGCGATGGACGTCGGATTTAAAATAATAATTAATAATTCTGTAGAATCACATCACATGATCTGCGTTTCATCAGCCGAGGCGTCCTTATTGCGGTCTTTCGCACGTTAGCATTTCCCGCCGTAAAGCAAAGCGTGAGTATTCTTTTCTTTTTATTTTATTAAAAGGTATTTTTAAAATTTAGACAGTATAACACGAAAAAATATAAAATTGTTGATGAAAAATGAATTTATTAATATTAAGAAATTTTTATTTAATAATTAATGTTTTATAATTTAAATTATAAAATAACAAATTTTTTAATATATTTAATGATAAATTATATATTGAGCATAATGGTTTTAGTTTTCATATCTCTTTTCATTTAATTTAAAATTTAAATTTAAAATCTTCAGTATTAAATTCTTGAAATTTTACCACTTGCAGGTTAATCAGGGAGTTTTAATTATATATTCAAGCATAGTGCTTTCATTTCTCAATCACCCTCTAAGCTGTTCATCCTTTGGATGGGGTTATGACAGGTGTATGCCTTAACTGGTTTGTCACTTCGCCCATCGTAGAGGAATCGCGTGTTCGAGTATGGTGGGCGTCAAAATGTTATTATCATGTTTACCTATAAGCGGGTGGGCGTGGATGAGTTGGCAAAAGATTTTTTCAATTTAACCAAAAGTCTTGATTTTAAGTCTTGAAAATGCAGTTTTGTTAAAACTCGTGTGGGAGAGTTTTGTCGCCCATCAGATTCTGCCCAACTCAAACTCAGATTAGTCAGTGGTCTAATAGGCTTTCGGATACTGGGTGGTCCACACAAAAAAAAATCCTTTGGATGGGGTTAAAGTTCTTCAAAAAAAAAAAAAAAGAAGGCATTGTAAATGAAGAAACAAATGTTGTGAGAGTTTTTCCTTTATGAGATTCGATGCTACTCAATTCTGAATTGGTCAAGATTCAATGTGATTACCGGATGCTAAAAGGTTAATAAAAAAAAATGAGAAGGCAAAATGCAAATTGTATAACTTGGAAGGGCTTTGGAACCAGTATAAGTCCTGCCATAGACGGGAATCAGTATTTTCTATGAAGCCCACTAGCCCAAAAGTAAGACGAACCAAGGCCCAAATTATGTCCACAGAGCGCCGACCTCAGCTCGCCACATGGCGCCAAATATGTGGACAAGATCTTGTGCACCACCTACCATGGGATGACCGTCTAGCCTCCTGAATTTTCCAAAACATCGACGGTTATCATTGTTTCTCCGTTTCCTTTTGTTGCCTGTATATATCACAGATCAATTGTTTTTCTCCCTTCCGTGATCGGTTGACGGGGTCGGAGAATCAACAGCATTCGGTCAATCAGTTCGTCGTCTTTAACCCCCGAATTTCAGGTAATTCTCGCTTCTACTCAGTTCGAATCGAAGCTTTTCCGGTTGAGCAAACCTAACAAACTGAAATTTTTTTCGAATCCATCTAATTCAGCTGATAGTATAGTCCGGTATCGATTAATTTTCGTCATTTATCCACTGATTTAGTTGAAGATAATCGGCTATGGCTGTTCTTGAAGATGCCGAACAAGAACAATTACCGCCGAAGAAGAAAGCACAGTCCGAGGAAGACAAGAGGTGATATTCATGGCTCAAGTTTTTTTTTTTCCGATCAAAAATGAAATTCACAGTTCAAGTTTTTCGAATAATGCTTAATCGATTGCATTTTGTTTGATTATTAGAATATCTTTGAATTTTGTTTTTAAATATGTAGGAGGAAAAAAATAGTTCCTGGAAGCTTAATGAAAGCATTGATGAGACCTGGAGGAGGGGAATCAACACCTTCCGAGGGCGATCAGGTTAGTTTAATGTTATATGTTATGCAGAATTGTATATTTATATTGTTTCCTCTTTTTATTTGAACGAATTAATGAGCTAATGTTTTTGAGGTTCTGGCATAATGGAATTATGTGATTGTTGTAGTGGAGCTAGTTTGCACGGCTGGAGTGGCTTTATTTGGAGATTATAATTTTTTATTGAATATAGGTTTGAATGAGAAATTCTACTTGATGTTTTGCAGGTCATATATCATTGTACTGTTAGGACATTGGAAGGGGTTGTTGTTGAGTCCTCAAGATCAGAATATGGAGGTGAATATACTGTAAGCGTTGGTGTAGTTCAAATGTGGTTCTCTCAAGTCCCCCTTTTATGTTTATATTTTGCCATTATTTTCTCAGAATTGATGACTACCGTGTAGTGTATCCTTTTTTCAACTGAACTTTGTTAATGTGGATGTCTACTGTTTGTTCTCTGATTAATATATTAATATATTAAAGTTTGGAGAGGACTTGTATGTCTGGTCCTCCAAATAGTTTTGGGAATGTGATGTTTGACAGTTGTGCTTCAAGCTGAAGAATTTGTATTTTAAATGGTCAATGTTATTTAGTTTTTGGATTTAGTTGACATGGCTTTACTTGACAGGTAAGGGCATACCAATAAGACATGTATTGGGCAAGAGCAAATTGTTATTGGGACTGCTCGAAGGAATTCCAACAATGTTGAAGGGTGAAGTAGCAATGGTATTCACTTCTGAGTTTCTTGAACTTTCTTTCTACTGTTTCAGTGGCAATGAGTGTTTGTGACTTCTCTGACTGGGTGTCAAAAAAGAAAGGAAAAAAAAAAAAAAAAAGAAGTGAAGAAAATTTATAGTGTCTGAATGTAATATCTTTCGACCCTGGAGTTTTGGTCCACATTCTTTTTCTTTTGGGACAGGGCAACTGATTCTTTTCCTTTTTGTTTCTAATTTTGAAGAAGCTTGTGACAATTCATAAATGAATAAAAATTTGGTGAACTTTATATTAGCTTGTGTTATGGTACTTTGATGATGGATTTTTTCTTTATTATTTCTTTTATTTGTTTCAGTTCAAAATGAAAACTCAAATGCACTATGGCGAGGAGGACTGTCCAGTTCGAGTCCCAAGTAGTGTCCCTAAAGATGATGAGCTTCATTTTGAGATTGAGTTGATAGATTTCTCAAAAGTCAAGGTGCAAACATTAGAGTTTAGACATTTATCTTTTCACTATAATATTTTTCTTAGATGTCAAATGAAAAATTCTATAGTAAATATTCAACCTTTTTCAAAAAATCATTTTGGCATCATAGATCTCATCTTTGTACAATCTTTAGTTCTAATGGTGGTTATTCGTGCTCATTGCAGGTCGTTAGTGATGATTTGGGAGTTTTAAAGAAGGTAGAAATGCTTAATCTTTTCTTAATAATGTATTTATCTAGAAGTGGGATGGGACTTCCATTCTTTTCTATACAATGAAAATTCTAATTATTTCAGCATCTGATCTCATGTTATAAACAGGCAATTTTGCTGCTTGCTGCTAAGTTCTGAGTTTTGTGTAACCATTTGATTCTTTGATTTCCTATATTTTGTTGGTTTCTGACTCATTTACTGTGTGGAAGTCAATATGAAGATGACAAAGCAATTACACATGAAAGTAATTGCTAGAGAAACCTTGTAAAGGCTAATGCAAAATGAGGATTATTGTGAATGTAACTTTTATTGACTGAGATACCAACATGTAGCAATATGTAATACTCTTTTTGTTGTTTCTCTCTCACTTCTTTATGAAAAGGTAATGAAGGAAGGTCAGGGTTGGGAGTCGCCCAGGGAACCTTATGAAGTTAAAGCTTGGTAATAATATGTTCTTCATTCCTTTTAAATATTCAATTGGGATTGCATTGCAATAGAGAGTGGATTGTTTATGCATTTGTGAGTTACATAACCTTATGTAATTATTTTCAGGATTTCTGCTATGACAGGTGATGGGAAGTTACTTCTCTCACATACAGAAGAACCATACTTTTTTACTTTTGGGAAATCTGAGGTTGGTAATTTCTTACATCTCTTTTTTCCAGGTGTTATTGGTTTATTTGTGCAATACATGCTCTGTCAGAGTTTATTGACAAGTCTTAATTTCATTATAAGTTTCACAGCTGAGGTTATTGTGTTTGCTAAATATTGTCTAGTAAGTTTTGAGATTGGTATACTTGGCATTAAGTCAAATGTTTTTTTGTAATATGGAAATTTTTTCAGGATGTAGGTAAGATATTACCTTTCTGTTATAATGACAAGTTCTTCTCTTTTTGATATAGTTTTGCCATTACTTTTATGGAAATTAGGTACCTAAAGGTCTTGAGATGGGAATAGGAACAATGGCTCATGAAGAGAAGGCAGTAATATATGTCACTAGTCAGTACCTAACTGAGTCTCCTCTAATGCCTGTGGTAGAAGGTCATGAAGAGGTTCAATTTGAAGTGGAGCTTGTCCATTTTATCCAGGTGAATGCAGAGTTCATATAAACAGTTCTTTGTCTCTTTCTAGCTTAATTTATCTTTATGATGTTTGTGGTAAATGATTAGCTTATGTGATTATCTCAACCTTTTTGAAAGCTGAAGATTGCTGGCAAATGATTCTTTTAATGGTTCCATGTTTCAAAAGACGTTTTATTTATCAAGCCTGTTAATTCATGTGAATTATTATCATCTTGCTTTTAATACATGGAATTTTTTACTTTATTTACAGATTTTATTATTATCATTTTATCTCCCTTTTATCATTATATGATATCTTGTGTTGTTTAGTTTGACATATTATTCTGAAGTTTGTCCCTTGATGTTAAAATGATGCCTACCTTTAGTTTACACATTATAAAGTAGTCACTTGGTAGTCTTACCGGTTCCATTGATTTTGAGTTTGTTTGGAGTTACTGGAGATCTGTAAAAGTGGCAAACTTGTCATGTTCAAGTGGGGAAATTACACTTAGTGTGGAAATAGAGAGATTGTTCAAGAGTGGTTTCTGTTGCTGCCCCCTGAGAGGGAAATTACACTCTGCCTATCTATTTCCCTCATATTTCAATCCAAATTTTTTTATTGTAACTCTTTAAAGAAACAAGATATCATTTTGCAACTAAGTTGTGAGGTCGAACTGAAATCTTCTAAGTGTTTTGATTGATAGGTGAGAGACATGCTTGGAGATGGGCGCCTAATCAAACGCAGACTTCGTGATGGAAAAGGTCTTGTTATCTTTAACATCACTGTAGTGGATATATTTTGTTTCATTCTTTTCAGTTCTCTTGTATGTTTATTGTTCAGTCTGTTACAGTACAACAGTGCAATACTGATGCCATGCAGCAATCATCTTAAGTTACTGGTAGTCAGTTATATCTGTATCCACCTGCTTTATATTTACTAAAACATGAGCCTCTAATTGATTGACAGTAGGTATGTTCTAATGGTAAGTTACACATGCTTATTACCTTGAATTATTCAAACACTTAATTGATGCTTGATTCAACTGGAATTATCTTATTTAGAAACTTTAAAATAATAAAGGCATAATTTCTTCTTTATGAATGTTCATTTCTGTACAATTTCTGGAGTTCATTTTGTCTTTGAATGTTGGGATTTAGCACCTTTATTTGTTCTTTGATTTACCTTGAGTGAACCAAGAGGTTTCTTTTGTCTTTATTATTATTTTTCTTGTGAAAATATCAGGTGAGTTTCCTATGGATTGCCCACTTCATGACAGTCTCTTACGTGCCCACTATAAGGGCAGCCTTCTTAATGAAGAAAAGACTGTCTTCTATGATACTAGAGTCGATAACAATGGTGACCCTTTAGAGTTCTGTTCTGGAGAAGGGCTAGTAAGTTCCTCTTATTAGAGTTGGAAAAAGTTTGTGATTCTATTATTCTGCATTTCATTTTGAAGTCATAGAACAAAAAGGTGTCACACAAATGCCAATGACCTATGCTTGCTCTAACAGTTATCATATTCGTGAATTCCTTCGGATCGAAGTTATTAGACTAAGGCTTTTAGGCTTTAATACAATGTGAATTTTATTATGTGATTTAGGTGCCTGAGGGATTTGAAATGTGTGTTCGTTTGATGCTTCCTGAGGAGATTGCCCTGGTCACATGCCCTCCTGATTATGCATATGACAAATTTCCTAGGTTGATTTGATTTCTTTATGCTTCATCCTTTTAGAATGTGTTTATAGTTATTGTAAATATCTATCCATGTGCCTTTTAAGGTGAGTTAATCCTCTTTCCCAATGCATGATGTCAATCTTTCTATATGTTTGGTTAGGCCAACTAATGTTCCTGAAGGTGCTCATGTTCAATGGGAAATTGAGCTTCTTGGTTTTGAGATGCCAAAGGTAATGGAGTGATATATTTTAGGAGCTAAAATGAATTCATTTCTTGAATAATATTGTTATGGTTGTATCTTTTTACAATGAACTAATTTTGAATCTATCCACTAGCAGAAATCGACATTCAACAATGGCATCAAAATTTTTTGCATTTCTTCAGAAACTTGTTTTCCATATCTTCTGTCTTATCTTCACTATATAAATCTCATAATAACAAATCTGCATTACAGGACTGGACAGGTATGACATTCCAGGGCATAATGGATGAAGCGGAGAAGATTAGAGTCACGGTATTTTTTACAGGATGAATCTCCTTTTTAACTGCAATTTAGCAGTGAGTTAGTTATTATGTGTTACCAACAGTGTCTAATAATCTAGTTGGTTTCCATGTATGTGACTATTTATGTTCCAATATGTTCCAGTGACACATTTTTATGTTATCTTCACTTTATATTGCTGTATCCCTTAAGATATGCTATTATCAGTTGCATTTAACCTTGAAATGACATGAAGCATAAAATTTCATGTTATCAATGTACAGGGTAACAGACTCTTTAAAGAAGGAAAGTTTGAACTTGCCAAAGCAAAATATGAGAAGGTAAATGTGCAGTTAACTTTCCCCTTTTCTAATTTCAGATTTTACATCTCTTGGAATAAAATAAAATGATTAAGTGGTAATATTTAGCATCTTAAAGTTTGCTTCTTTAATCATGATTTTTTTGGCTTCTGTCAGGTATTTGGTTATTCTTTTAACCCAGTTGTCTTCTTATGGCCAAAAAATGTTTCTTCTTGTTGGAATGACCAAACACAAGACTTTTGAATGTCTCCCTTTCATTTGCAATAACTTCTGGTGGTACCAAGAAATAATGTTTTTGTGGTATTACTTGAAATGCATGTGTACCAAGTCACTGGGTGATGATTTCTATTTTCTGTACAGGTGCTACGGGAATTTAATCATGTTAATCCACAAACTGATGAAGATGGAAAGGTGTTTTCAGATACAAGAGTAAGTGATCTCCTCCTGCGTGGTAGCCTAAAAGAACTGTAGCAGAAGCACAACTCTTTAGTTTTTACATGGCATTAGATGATTCTACTTTTTATTAACGTTCTTGTGTTTGGATGTTTGTAGAATCTGTTGCATCTGAATGTTGCTGCTTGCCTCCTCAAATTGGGAGAATGCAGAAAGTCCATTGAAGCCTGCAATAAGGTATGATGTTATATGACTCCAAACTTAACTCTCCCTCTCTCTCTCTCTCTCTCTCACACACACACACACACACAGACACAAACACACTGAGAATGTTCTATTCTTGTTTGGTTTGAGGGAAACAGAGAGGAGGGGAAGTGACATTATTTTGACCAATTAAATTATATCGTTGGGCCAACAAAATAATTGATTCCTTATAATAATTTTCCCTCCCCTTCCCTTCCCTCAAACCAAACAGACTATTAGTGATTGGAAGAAATACATTAGTGTTATGGACTGTGAAACTTACTAGGACGGTTGTTGGATGAAAAATAATTTGATCAAAAGCCAAATTAAGTTGATAATATGGTTTTCACAAAGACTTGATCAAGTTTGGTTCTTTACAGGTTTCCAAACCAAAGCCTAGGAGGTAAAAAGATAAAGAGAAAAGGAAAAATATCAAATGTTCAATCTGAAAACTTATTTTCGCCTGGAACCACACTAAAGTCTTTTGATTACATTTTCATGCACATGCAAACTCCATTAATGTGGTCCTCAGGCAGGTCACTCTGCCCCAAGTTAATTGACTTCCTAAAATCATTATACTGAACCCTATGAAGGCATCAATTGGGAAAATTTGAGGACAAAACCTAATAGGACTTTGCAATGGACATCAAGTTAGAAACTTAAAACTACTAAAAAAAATTCAATTGATCAATACAGAGATTTGTCTTTGGGTTTAACAGATTAAAGTCCCAAGATTCTTCTTCTTGAGACTCTGGTTTACCCTTTTGCCATGTCTAAAATTTGTGCAGGAAGAGAGATTAGCTTAAGTTTTAAGCTAGAGAATTGCCTTAAAATTCTAGACTTCCATTTTGGCCCCACGTTGTTTACTTGTTTAACATTTCTATAATTTGTTACCTGAGGTTATCCATTTGAGTTTGGATCCTCATAACCATGCTTGGTGCTTGGTAACCATACAGGTTTTGGATGCAAACCCTGCACATGTTAAAGGGCTGTATCGTCGTGGGATGGCCTACCTGGCAGCAGGAGATTTTGAGGAAGCAAGAAATGATTTTGAAATGGTAATGCTTATAATTCTGTTAGTTTTGTGGTCAACAACCAGATTTATGATCAATAATCTCAGTCTATTTCTGGATGCTGTTAGATGATAAAAACTGATAAATTATCAGAACCAGATGCAATGGCAGCACTTACAAAATTGAAAAGGATGGAGCAGGTGTGTTAAACAGCCGTATATATTCTCTTTGCTGTTCAGCTTGGAATGACAGTCCTTTAATTCATCTTGTAAATCAACCATGTTATAAGCAGGAAGCAGAGAAAAAAGTTCGAAAACAATTTAAAGGACTATTTGACAAGAAACCGGGAGAAATTGCAGAGGTTAAGACAGAAGACAATAGTGGAGATCAAACTCAAGGTCAGATCACTGAAAAACAGATGAGTGACGTTCAAGAGTCCTCAGATTGCAATGAGTCTGAGGGTTCGCTCGATGGTGCAGCTCATGCACCTCAAATGGGCTGGTTCTACCATTTTTGGTCCTCTGGTAGAAGACTATTTTCAGCTCAAGGCCTTCAGAAAAGTACCATTCTCTTTCTTCTTGTAGCTGCAATCTCAATTGTCATACTCCAGCTTACTAACACAATGCCAGCAGTCGCTGCATAGTTCCATAAAATTTACTTGGCTTAGGGACAGATAAAAACTATAAATCTAATTTGTTTGTTTGTAGTACAAAAAGAGATCTGGATTTTTGAGATAAAACTGTAAAATAATTACGAAGCTGGTTGTCGTCCTTCGTTTGTCTTATACTGAACAACTTTTCATCGTTTGTGTCGCCTAGATGCCTCACTCTGGCTCCAGGCTGTTAACTAAATTTTTTCGCTTGTTCATGTGTTGCCTCTCATATCTGTTGAGGACATGATTATGTAAATATTAATAGGAACAATACAGAAATCAGAGAGATGTATGTAACCCGAGTCTCTAATCTTAGAAGTCTCTTGCATCACATTTAAACTCTCTGTTTTTTCATCAATGATTTATTAATTTAAGTAAAAAGAGTTTAGTTTTCTTAAAATTAGATTTTAAATTTGAATAACGTAAATAAAAAAATAAATTATATGATGTGATTTTAAATTAGTTAAAATTTAATATAATTTTCATGAGAGTTTAGTAAAAAAAAACTCTCTTTTTTCTCATTTCAACCATTGAGGAAATTGAAAATGAAATGGAGACCAGAGATGAAACAATAGTAAGAACCAACACACTTCCGGAAAAAAGAAAAAGAAAAAGAAAAGTAAAAGCCAACACGTGCTTTATAAAAGTGGTGGACCCTTCCTTCTCGCTTCAAAACAAAGTGTGTGGCATATCTTAATAGTTAAGACTGTTAAGTAGCCAAAAAAGAGATTTTGAAGACAACATAATCAAGGAAATTGGAAAAAAAATGAAGACCAAAGATGAAACAATAGTAAGAACCAACA